TGACCAGCAGACCACAAGCTCCTCCCACTGCTGTAAGTGAACCCTACATTCACCCGTTAAGGTGTTTAGTTTCGACCTGCAGCAGCACTGTGTACATTACACCAACTACATTTCCAGGCCTGAAGGTCATGACAGCAAAGTAAAGCAAAGCAAGTGAAAATTTAAGCTTTTGGCCTCCTCAGGATCAAACCAGACCGGCCACGTGCTCGAAGGCCGCTTGTCCTGTGTCGCTATGGAAACATGGGGTATTGTTTGCATTAGAAGTTACTCAGTAGACAAGGAGAAAAGGGGGGAGCAAAAGCAGCGCACTTATCTTGGTGAACAATAACCTAAAATATTCTTCAGCAGGACCTCAGACTTCAGGTCAAACATAGGCACAGCTCACTTATTTGTCTTTTTAGATTTTATGGGACTCAGCAGGTGTTGGAAAACAGCACTTTTTATGTCCTGTGGCTCAGAGAGTTAAAAAAAAAAAAGGAAAACAAATTATTTTCAAAGCCTGACTGATGTTGATTCAAGGAAACAGCAGTGTGGAGAAAACAATCTCTCAGAATTTATTAGCTTTTCTGCAGCTTTCAATAAATCCAAAACAGCAGATGGAGTTTTGCTCAGTTGTTGTTTGGTTTTGTTGGAGTTCTTTTTCACATTTTTGAAAGCTGTTGGCTGTTGGATAGGATGTTAGACAAGGTTCAAAGTTCATTCGCAAGACTTAGAAAAGAAGAAAAAAAGTCTCACTCCACAGTTAAATTAGTAACTGCTCTGACATTTTAAATCACACCGGCTTTTTCAGCAGATGGAAGTGGAAAATTAACACGTTGCATGACTGGGCAACCCTGATGATGAAGAACAGTTACGAAGAACTAGATCTTATGGTGAGATTGTTTTCTCAGCATTTAGCGTGGTAATGGAGCATTGCTGCAGCTCCAATAACGTGTTCATGCAGTCAACAATTTACTGCTATCAAGGTGAAGAACTGATCACGTCTTTACTTTAAATATCTTCAACCCTGCTGAGAGTCTGTCTCTAAAAATAACAGTTTTCAGCATATGTGAGTTTAAACTGGCAAATGCTGAATTTAGTCTTCTGATAAAAATCTTTAAGTACTTTAGATTTCCCAGTAACTGCACATATACACAAAAAACTTACTCTTTTAATATTTATCTTTTGTTATTTGAGAATTCTTGATTTAAATGTTCCATGCAGTTGCAGGGAGAAATAAGCTCTTCACGTTTGTAATAGTTCGATTGATGAACGGGGAATTAATGTTTCCAAGGGGCCATATGAGAGCCTGGGACTTCTGTGGAGGGCTGCACCACTAAGCTGAACTCAATTCTGCATGTGTATAAGCTTACTGGTATGGCCCTCCTGGGACAACAGTCCCAGTTTACGTCACATCCCTGTTTCCAAAGGCAGACTTACCACTCAGCAGCTGTCTGTGTAGAGCTCCATGGAACTTATTTGCGCAGTAATTTTAAAACATTATTAAAATGTAACTTTTACTTTAATATTCACATCATAGTCTCTCTAGTTATTTATGTAATAAATAAATAATACTTTTGTAGAATCCTCTTATTCTTGGACATGTGTACACCCCGACATCACGCATTTCTTTGTTGTGGACGGCTGGTCACTATAGCGGTCGGTCCAGGCTCTGGTTGCCCAGGTAACCCATCTCTGTCATTGGTGGGGTTTTTAGCTCACCTCAAACTTAAGAAA